AAAAAAAAAAAAAAAAAAAACTATCCTTACTAAATTTATATATTTTCACTGAGACACTTTTTTTTAATGTAACAGAAAAAGTGTATAATTGTGGTTAAAGTCTGAAATATGTTTTGCTTTAAGGCTGTCTTTTCATATCCTAAAAATTACAATGAACAGCCTCCCCTTTAATGAAGTTTCAGCAACAAGTCACAAAATCACGGAGTAGATTGAAGTGTGTTTAACAGTCAAAACCTGATGAACAGACGTGTTGAAGCAGTGATTCAGCTATAAACAACCACCCCAGCCCAAACACAGAAGGTAAAAGCAGGATTTCATTTTCCTTGCCTGGCAGCTTGGTCCGTAGCCTCTTCAAAGAAATGACTGGGAGAGGTGTGTGTGAGAGTTCAAAAAAGCATGTACATTTCAGAAGTTATTGCAAAATGATCTAGAGTGTCTCATCAGCTGACAAGCTGTCCTGAGACGGTCCTGGAGACGAGTCCGCAGAGGGTGTGTCCTGCATGGACACCGTGGCCTTAAGATGCAGGAGATGTGTCTGTGATCTGCCAGAAACCCAAGTAGGTGAAGACAGAATTTGCAAGGAGGGCTCATGTTTAAAGTCTTCCCAGCATACAGTCTCCACACAGCGGGTTATCTCATGAGTATAAGATTAATGGTAAGATAATTTTTTGTCTCCTAGAAAGTTCTCTGTTAAGGTAGGAGAAACAATGATAGTGTAGCAGCCATACTTTTGTTCAATTGACTTCACTCGTGTGCGCACAGCAGCCGTGCTTATGGGGAAACGAAATGTTCAAGCACAGCTATAAACTGCATTCTCTTTCATCTCAGAGCATGATTATTCATAGGATTACTAATGGCCTTCATAAGTATGAATAAGGGCCATTTAACTAGTTGGTAATCTTACAGGTTAAAAAAAAGGGACTCAGGATGCTGGGATAGATGAGTACAGGTTGAGCATCCTAACCATAAAAATTCTAAAATCCGAAATGCTCCAAAATCCAAAACTTTTTGAGCGCCAACATGATGCTATAAAGTGGAAACCTCATGTGATGGATTGAAGTCAAAATGCAGTCAGAACTTTGTTTTGTGCACAAAATTAGTAAAAATATTGTATAAAATGACCTTCGGGCTATGTGTGTAAGGTGTATATGGAAAAGAAATGAATTCTGTGTTCAGACTTGGATCCCATCCATAAGATTTCTCATTATGTATGTGCAAATATTTCAAAATCCAGAAAAAAAAACTGAAATCCAGATTACTTCTGGTTCCAAGCATTTCAGATAAGGGCTACTGAACTTGTATTAGCTTTATGTAAACGTGAAGTAAAAGATGCCAGGCATCTAGTGGCCATTCCTAATCTAAGGTTAAAGGTCTGAATGGAGCACAAGGCAGCCCATGGCCACCGCACGAGGCAGACTGCTTTATTTTCCTGTTACCATTTTTCTATGTGGTGAGGTGGATCAAGAGAAAGAGAAAGAAAAAACATTTTAGCTGTTTTCTGAAACAATGTGCCAGATAAACTTCAGGTGACATTTTATGTAGGTCGGAAAACCAAAGGATCGTCTGTTGTCATATAACTGGGTTATAGCATCTCACTGTCAAGAAGGCATAACTTCAGGTGCTCCAGGTGAGTCTTTTTGAAGTGATGGTCCCCAAAGCATGCCCACTCCTAGGTCCTTTCTGCCCAAACCAATCTACAACTTCAAATGACACTTGTTCCCGACAACCCTGAGCTCAGGGCACACCATGTCTTCTTGGAAACTAACCTACCTCCCCTATAGTTAATTCTCAAAGTGGAGCTAGCAGGAGATAGACCGTTTTTGGTCAAGTTTCATTTTCAACAGAGAAAATCCTATTTTCCCAATAACTGGAGTTGAAGACATGTAGTGAGGACAGGATTAAGGCAGTGGCCAACCCCCTGGTCAGCTGGCCTGGGGTCACATCTTTGAGACGTGTCTGTGACATTAGTTTGTACATTGAACATGCTTGAGTCTGTGAAATGAATGACATCCCAGGTTGGTTTTTTTCTAAAACTGGAAATTCCTTCTTAGAAGTTGACTTAGAGCAAACTAAGCCTATAAGAAAGTCCTGTAGCAGATCAGACCTACTGTCCATGACATCTCAGACGATCTTGCGTAGGGAACAAAGGAAATGACCTTAATTTGGTCATTTAAGTAGCTGGGGCCGCCAAATTGAGAATCAGATATTCTTGACTTCCTGAGCATTAATCTGGAAACTCCACACATTGTACAATGTATCCATTTTATGTTCATTTACCTTCTCTTTAATGACTTAACAGAAAAAAACTGCATGATGAAATATATTTTCTCCAAATATATATATATTTATATAATATATAATCTTAGTTAACTCAAAGGTATATACATTGTATAATAAATAATATTTAT